TCAAAGGAAGGGGTTTAACGAGGCCACAAATGCCCTTCCCGGACCGATAAGCCAGGCAGAAGGGCGGGTACGAGCGTGCCCCCCCCCCCCCCTCTACCAGTCCCCAGCCGTCTCGTAGCTACACCAATAGGATAATGACGGCGAAACTGGTTCTGGGATTGTTTGGTCGGGGTTAATGAAGCCTAAAGAGCCTGAACCCACTTTGACTTGGCGACTCACTCGAGTAATAATCCATAAAACACAAAATAAAGCAAAAAGAAAAAAAATCATAATCCTTTATCATTTTTAAAAAAAGTCCAGTCAAATCTCCGGTAAATACACGTTTGTCTGTTTATTTTAGCTTCTCCAACTAGTGATAAAGATCCCAACAACAACTACTACTTCGACCAGCGCCACTACGAAGTATTGGAAGTGGAGCAGAATGTGGTCAATGAGCCGTCTCTCTCCTACGACGCATAAGCATCCTCATCACGCGATACGTCTTGAGAAGTTCTCCAGTAAACTCACGGCCCATTACGTTGGAGGACTTTATACCATAAAGCCTATTCGATGTAGGACGTCGTGGAAGGGAATGCCAGACAGACGCACTTGTAACTGTCTAATGGCAAGGTGTCCCCGTGCAGCTTTTCATTGTGGTTGTTGGGTGGTATTAAGTGAGTGAGATAGGTCAACTGGGGAATTCGTGCTTAAAAAAAAATATATTCTCTCGTCTGCCTCCTACCACTACGGTCCTTGCCTTCCTGCGGTTTGAAACTTCTTGACCTGGAGTGATAAGCGTATCATTCCATATCAGCTTGGTACCCGCAAGTCCCACACCTCAAGCAATAAGAATAGATTAGAATTCCCTGTGCCATGCCTATTTACAGTTTTAAAACTAAAAAGGCCTCCAGACGGAAGCAGAGAGGATCGAGCGCGAGGTGAGTGCACCTGCTCACAAGACCCGTCCAGGCGGCGAGTCTCAGGTTACCAGGCAATAAGTCTCGAGCCTTCACTAGCTAATCACTTATGAAAAAAAAAACTCAAGCAGCGTTTTTCCTCTCCCTTGAATTCCTCCCGCACCCGCGCATACTCGCCGGAAATCACTCGCCGCCTCCCTTTCCCTCGCACTCAACATGGAAAACGACTGAGCAAAGAATGTCACCCATAAAGTCTCGGCCGCCACAACGGCCCCCGAGGGCAGGGCAGACTTTGGAGCTACAGATGACTATCGCGTCGCGAGACAATGGTTGGACCACTTCGGGACGGTTGCCCCTCCATTTACACTCCATATGAGGGCCGCGAGGAGATGCCACGGCAGGAGGGTCATCGTCACCCTCGCGCTCGCCGACCCGCCTTTCGAGCGCTTCTGGGCCCGATTCTGGCTCTCCGCTTTGTGTCCTGGGCCGATGGCGCTGCTGTTTCGTGCTTATGTCTTCTTGACTGGTCGGGGAAGGACTGGCGGAAAACGCAATCGACCGAGGAGGGAAAGAGTAACTATGAATGGACAAAATGCAAGTAATAGAAAACAAAGGCACAAGGAGTGAGAAAAACAGAAAAGGTGGAAATGTGAAAAGAAAAGAAGAAAAACAGAGCGGCAAATCATTCAATTATACAAAAAACAAACCCTACAGACTATAACCCCAAACTCAACTAATACGAAAAAATAAAAGTAGTAGTAAACACGCAGCCGACACAGCGCATTATGCAAATACCTCAAATAGGTGCGTGCGAAGAACTCATGTTAAGTAGCAGCGAAACGGCTTACCGAAGATCTTCATGGCGAGATAAGCGGCGGAACGGTTGCTATCGAGATGGGCAAGGGGGCGCCGCGCTGAGGAGGGGCGATGATAAGAGAGATAGGCGAATGAATGAGTCACGAGTCGGAGAGAGAAAGGACAGCCAGGGAAGAGAGGTGTGACGTAACCAGGAAACAGATATTTGGAAAGGAGGGAGATGAGAGATGGACGCGATACCCTGTGCCTGCTTTGGCCTTGTAATGGCAAAGAATATTTACATGATAATGTAAGGGGTTTAAGAGCGCATGTTGTATCACATATGCTAACTGAACATGCACATCCTTTTCTTGCAGTCGATGTTTCTTTAATGATTCACTCGTGATTCATTATGTTTCGATTATTTGTATCTCTAAGCCCCTTCTGTTCACGTTCTATCCCTCACAGTCAAAGGCTCTAAAGGAAGTAATAAGTCTTACCTCGAGACCACGTAGGGAACTTATCTAATGTAAACAGCGCGTAATGTTGATGGTAAATGGGCGGGGTCACGTAGGGCCGTCTATCGAAGATGAGGTCACGCCCCCTCCATCTATCATAGGTTGCTTCTAGGTCACTGTGATAGAAGACACATCTCTCGATAGAACTCTAAAACTGATCGCGTGAGTTTTAACAATTAAGTTACGGGAGACGAACAAATAAATGTAAATTTATACGGATATACAAGCAAGCACATACGCCAGTGCAATCATTCTCTGTCTATCTGCCCCCTCTCTCTTTCTCTTACTCACTCACTCTCTCTCTCTGCCCTTCTCTACCCCCCTCCCCCCCCTCTCTCTTCTCTCTCTCTCTCCTCTCTCTCTCTCTCTCTCTCTCTCTCTCTCTCTCTCTCTCTCTCTCTCTCTCTCTCTCTCTCTCTCTCTCTCTCTCTGGAATATGACAGCGTCTGGCCAGCATCATAATGACGTTCCTTTTCGCAGGAGAGAGCACCTCCCAACGCCGCCATGCCTCCCTCACAACCATTCAAGATATTATCACCGAACATTAATAACGTCTCTAATTCCATCTCCAGCCCTCCTCCCTGACCCGGCAGAGTCATGGCGGATTTTTTTTTTCGTTCCTCTTTTTTCCGCGTCTGGCCAACCGTCTCCGTCTAAACTAATGGACGTCGAGAAAATCGCAGAGAGAGAGAGAGAGAGGGTTCTTTGCGAGAGGTATTTCCCATACATTTCACCTCCCTCTTTTTTCTTCTTCTCCCGCGATGCAAAAAATTATTCCATTTGCGACTGGAATTCAGTCTGTCCGCGCCGAGGATAAGCCTACAGTTTCCATGCGTGCAAAAAAGGGCTAAAAAGGGATCATATTCCTCTAAGCTATCGTTGGGAACCCTGCCTGCCGGCCCGGAGCGCATCGCTGGCAACCCTGCCAGAGGTCTGAAAGGTCACCACGTGATTCATCAGACGGCTGACCCCCATTTATTTCGCCTTTTGTTTTGATGACTTAACCCCCACGGGTCCTTCGCGTCTTGGGAGAGGAAGGGGACAAAAACAAGTTTATTAAGGAGGCAGGAGACAGAAAAGGATAAGAGATGCAGATGATACTTTACCATATTCGTTACCGAGCGCCGATGCGGTTGCTTGGCGATGACTCCACATAACTACGAGCGGCAAGCAGAGGCGCCGATATACGTTAACGGTCGCACTAGCATAACGTTCCTCGCATCCCTGGCATATTTTCTCTCCGCTCGCCTCAACTCCTCCTTGGACGTGACCCATCCGTGTCCGCCTAATCTCTGGCCGTCCGCTCTGCACAATGTTTCATCACGACGGACACATTCCCCGTCACACTTCACAACCTGAAGTCATTCCGCTAAACAGCACGTTCTCGACCGCAACACTAAAATCATGAAAATAATCACAATGATCACTCGTCTCACTAATATTCGGAAGAAAAATAACACCAGCGGATCCACAACAAATGCGAGTATTTTCTCCTCGCGCCACTGAGCTCACCAGATCACCAGACAGACTCGAGAGTGACCCCTCCTCACCTCCTCACTTCCCCGACCACACTGGCTAGATATGATAATTACTTGGTCCCGCTCGTCACACATACGCACCCTTAAAGAAGTCCCGAGTCTCCTCCCGTTGCCATGGTTACGGCAATGGGTTAATGAAAGGGTGGGTTTGTTGCCTCTTTTGTTTCCCCGAAGTTGTGTATTCTCCGCCGTCTCTTGGTCCCCGTCTGGCTCGCGGGGTCAAGGCGGCGCAGGCTGCCTAATGGAGGGGTTTCTCCCTTATCCTTAGAGGGGTTTACAGTCATAATGGAGAGTGCACGAACGTGAAAAGACTTTCTAAAAAAGGGAGTGTTTTAAGCCTAAGTGGTGAAGGCAGTTGTGCCATTGTCCACGAGGAACCACTTAATTATGAAAAGAATGATTAGCCGGGGTCAGGCTGGTCACACAACCACACTAAGGAGAGACGAGGAAAGTCGGCTGGGCAACCAACACGCGCCTCAACAATATTCTCCGTGATTTATGACACGTAAAGGAGAAAGTTGACCAAACAATAACGGACCAGGGGGAAAAAAGCCTTCGAATTCGCCACTTCGCCTTCTAAGAATGAAATATCACATTTCTACACAGCAACAACGCAAGATTTCCCGGCAATGTTGGGTGAAAAAATGTGTCAGCATTCCGAACAAGTCCTCCTGTCAACGTTATGTACCGCTTATACTCTTTCGAAATGCCCAGAGGAATGATAAGAATCGGGTGTGTGCGTCCAGCGTCACCAAGAATGTCCGCGACGAGCACGAACAAATGCTTCCGTAATACTCTCACGTAGATTGTAAATATCTCTTTCTGACGCCCGTATGGCACCTACGTCGCTCGACCCGACTTTTTCAAGTACCTCAGATTTCAAACGGACTAGCCGGGAGGTTCAGGAAATACTGTGTACAGGCGGTAGGAAATGGTGTGTGTGTGTGTTGGTGTGTCTGTGTGTGTGTGTGTGTCAGTGTGTGTGTGTGTGTGTGTGTGTGTGTGTGTGTGTGTGTGTGTGTGTGTGTGTGTGTGTGTGTGTGTGTGTGTGTGTGTGTGTGTGTGTGTGTGAGAGAGAGAGAAGAGAGAGAGAGAGAGAGAGAGAGAGAGAGAGAGAGAGAGAGAGAGAGAAGAGAGAGAGAGAGAGAGAGAGAGAGATAGAGAAGAGAGAGAGACTACGTGAGTCCGTGTGTGTGTGTTGTGTACAGGTGTGTATGTGTGCACCTGTTACTCTTGAGAAGCCAAGACGTTACCTTATCCAGGAGGTGGTAGCATCTCGCGGTGTCCTCGAGGCGGTCGCGGGTGTGGTGGAGGCGCTCGGTGAACTGCGTCAGGTGGAGGTGGAGCGCCCTTGCCAACTCCCTGACGCTGGGCTCCGTCTCGGCCGAGGGCGCCGCCGCCTCCTGCAGCAGGGACCCGCCCTTCTCCAGGTGCCGCTGTGGGGATAGTGGAAAAAAAAATAAGTATTAGCTGGCGTTTTGTGTGGCCACGAGTTATCACTCTCTCTCCCTCAGACCTAAACAAACATTCATAAAAACGATAAGGATTTTTAATAACACGCACGTGCGTTAAAATGAAAATTATTTCACGCTATAACAACAAACCTTTGAAAAAATGCCTAGAAAACGCAAACATAAACACCACTTCACATCAGCCCATCCCAATCACCCAAGTACAAGAAAAAAGAAGATAAAAAAAGCAAGAACCAAGTGATCTGAGCAGAGCATCGATAAATCAGCCTCATGTCCACGCTAAGAGGCTGCATCTAACGGAATTACATTTCACACCGCCTCGATAACATCGGAAAAACCGTTAAATTAACAGTACCACGTGACTGCCTGTGTCCGGCCGGCGGGCGGGGAGCGCGGGCAGTGAAGGAAGGGTAAGGGCGATGCCCATTCCCAGTGTTGCTTGTTAGGGGGAGGGGGACTGGGGAGCAGGGGCCTCATGAAGAAGTTCGATGATGATGCATCAGTAAACAGGCCCCTATTCAGGCTCTCCCCCTCCCCCCGCCCTCGCCCACCTCGACTCCTCACCGGCCATCATGACACACAACATGCTCTTTATTATGCAACATCCTGGATTCCTACTGAAGCCAGACATCTCATGGTGTGACCGATGTACACGCTGTCTCCAAGTGCTTGTGCTTGTTAGAAAACACGCATGCGCCGGTAATCTCCTACTACCCAGCGAGCGGCTAAGTACACATGGCATAACGATGAATCAAAAGGTAAACAAGGTACTGACATACGCACACAAACGTCTTACACAAGAGGAACACAGGTGGCCTGTATCTTGACCACTAAGGATGTTGTTGTAGCGGTTAGGGTGTTTGCCGGCCTCGTTGTAGTGGGCTGAGGAATGGCTTTGACTGGGCATACACTTTACTCTGACAAGCACCGTCACTGTAGAGGATGGCATGGTGTGCAGTACGTAACAAGAATGATAGAAGACTTCCACATACTCGCACGGACGGCCAAGCGCACGCACACAAAACCACGTGTATATACGGAGAGTTTAAAACCAATAGCATCATTTGCATCTTCATATAGGACCAGTAAGAAATATGATCCCTCATATAAAAAAGAATCACACACATTCTATACTTCATAAACAAACGGAAGAAGTAATAACGATCATAAATACAAAACACCATCAACACACAGCTGGAAAATCTTAACAGACAAGTGACTACTCTACAAAGAACAATTCAAACCTGCGTGAGAGAGATTTCCGGTAAAGATTAAGCCAGGCGGTTATCTCACTTTACATCATCCATCAACAACCCCCATCAACCCGAACAGCGGGGAAATCACCTGGAGGTCCAAAAACTGACCCCTCGCGCGACCTGACATGACCTCATCACTTGTTTCACCATAACAGCGCGTGGGAGTGTAATACTCACCCTTACATTAATTAAGAGACCTTAGAGGATGAAGGGTGTCTGGGGGGAGAGGGAAGGATGAGGATGGTGGGGGGTAGGGGGTACAAGAGGGAGAGGGAGGGGGCTGAGACACTCATCATCTTGTGTTATGAGTTGTCCCTCATCCCGGGCCGCCCTCACCACAAGACGTAACTTTCTCGCCGCCTCTCGATGGGGTCGCCGCCGGGGGTAACCGATCGCGGGGAAAGTTCTGCGAGCATGCATAATTGGGGGAATTACACGTTCTTACGTATAACTCTTTCGCGAGTGTTCTCCAGCCGCATCTTCCCCGTGAGTTGCCCACTGATATTAATCTCACCCAAACTAATGAATATCGAGCGTTTTTCTGCAATCAAACTGATCCCGACTTTTGTAAACAGACGTAAACCAAAGCCACAAAGTAAAATAAAGAACCCCTGATAGAACATTTAACACACGATCCAGGAACAGCTGAATTCTTCACAATAATGCGTAAATAACCTCATGCACTGATCTCGATTACGCTCGTTTCTCCGCCTCCTAAAACACACACGAAGGGTGAACTCCCCTCGCCCTCGGGACATTTGAGGAACGAGGGGAGGCAAAGGGCGGAGATTTTCGCGCTCGGCTTTAATTAATTATCAGGCCAATTATGAAGTACCGTAAGATGCGTAATAATTGATGACCTCACATACGCGTTAATTATTTCCGCGTTGGTGAATGAGATCAATCTGACATGAAAGGAAATTCTCTTTATGATGTCATTCATTCTAATTTCACTCTTTACGCTGGTCGTAATATCAATATTTATTCTACAGCGACAACAGCCATGTCATACAATGCTAGTCTTCCATGCTGGCCATATGCGGCCTCAACTTGCTTACAAATACTGATGACAACAATTCCTCGGTTCCGTCAGCCACCTTCACTCCGTAGTTCAACCATAACCCCCGCACCGGGCAGCTGCTGACAAAATATTGATTTGGCCGCCACCGGTTCTCTCATCCTCCGTTCCACTATGGCGCCGGTTCTCTTCGCCTGCACTCCGTCGAATAAATCACACAAGGGTCTGTCACGCCCCTTGGAAAAGGAATCGGTGGTCCTCTTCCTCTCCCTCCGCCCGCTGCTGCCTGGTCCTGCGCCCTCGCCCGCCACGTGGCCGCCTCAAACAGACAGCAGACTCAAAAGCAGCCTATGGTACAAGCACGAAGCTCTGTCTGGTTTTCTGTTTCAGTGGCAACAGGAAAACCCAAGCGTGTTAATGTCAGCGAGAGAGAGGGCGAGAGAGCGAGAAAGAGAGACGCAGAGGAATAGGGATAGAGTGGAAAGGGAAAATGATGGCGGGAATGAAGAAGGAGAGAGAAAGATGATCAGGAACAGGGAGAGGGTATGGAAGAGATACTGATATACATTAAATATATATATATATATATATATATATATATATATATATATACTATATATATATATAAGAGAGGAGAGAGAGAGAGAAGAGAGAGAGAGAGAGAGAGAGAGAGAGAGAGAGAGAGAGAGAGAGAGAGAGAGAGAGAGAGAGAGAGAGAGATATAGATGAAAATATGTAGATATAGATATATAGATATATGAAGATATGTAGATATAGATGTATGACGATATAGATAGATAAACAGATATAGATAGATAGATAGATAGATACAGAGAGAGAGAGAGAGAGAGAGAGAGAGAGAGAGAGAGAGAGAGAGAGAGAGAGAGAGAGAGAGAGAGAGAGAGAGAGAGAGAGAGAGAGAGAGAGAGAGAGAGAAATATATATAGATGAAAATATGTAGATATAGATATATAGATATATGAAGATATGTAGATATAGATGTATGACGATATAGATAGATTAACAGATATAGATAGATAGATAGATAGATAGAGAGAGAGAGAGAGAGAGAGAGAGAGAGAGAGAGAGAGAGAGAGAGAGAGAGAGAGAGAGAGAGAGAGAGAGAGAGAGAGAGAGAGAGAGAGAGAGAGAGAGGAGATGGTATCTGTGGCGGGAAGAGGAGCGCTGTCTGCCTCGACACGTCGGGTGAGAACCACCCTGTGCTAACCACGGAAAGCTCCGATCAGCTGCGTCAACACATATATTTCGGAATGAATGCTAAAGGAATGCCGTGCTCTATTTCGCCGCGATAGAGTGCTGCAGATTCTAATTTCCTTGTTCATGCAGTGCTCTCATAATGAATGTTGAAAAAACTGCATGCATAAGCATTTTACATATATCAAGGTTGAGATGACTGAAATCTTCCAATAGGAATTTGTAGATAAGAACATTAGAACAATCAATTTTCAAAATGTGAAATATTGCTGATTGTGAAAGAAAGAAAGGAAAAGAAAAGAAAAAAAAACTCGAAACATCGCATGCTGAACACCTGTTGAACAGCTGGGATAACTGGCCGAATATGAACACTCCACTCGAACGCGCTTGCAAGCAGAGTGGAAAAGAACCTTTAAACATCCTTGACATTCAATGGCTTATCTCGAAGAGCATTACTGAGCGCTAATCCCCGATGTGAATCTGATCGCGGTTCTTGGAGGCAATCAAATCGAGACCCTTGCGAGCGCTTAACTTTTCTTCGCTATCTGACACGGTTTTGATCAATAGAAATGCCTCACGGGAAATTCGCGTCAAAACTGCTGTTCGAATACAAATGGGAATCTCATCAAAACTACAGACGAAACACATTAACAATGAAACTGCTATTCACCTCGTGAAACATCCAGCCCTGCGCCAGTGTGAAGGAACCTCGCCCATAAAAAAAGAAAACGGAGGCCTACATTATCATCCGTCCATGAAGGATCCGACGGAGCTTCAACTCGCAAACCAAATAAGGGAACACTTGGAGAACGACTACCTTCTCCTCTCCCTCTCCTTCCTTCAACTTTCCTCTCTCTCCTCTTTCTTCTGATGTTCCCCTTACTTATTCGGTTGTTACTCTTCAACCTTCTTCTTCTTTCGGCAACCCTCCCTCTCTTTTGCTTTTTTCTGCTACTCCTCCTCGTTCGCTTCTTTCTGCTATCTCTTCTTCTTTCTCTTCCTCTTCATTACCCCCTCAGCTTCTTCTTCTTTCCCTTCCCTCTTCCTCCTTCCCTTTTCTTCCCTCTTTAGGGGGCTGAGGAAGGGAGTTGTCTAAACGAATGGTCCCTCCCGTCTTCCACCCGGAGAAGGGGGGAAGAAGTCTCGGCGATCGAGGGGTCCCGAGCCACCACTGAGGTTTCAACACTGAGGCTCATTCGTCCCCCGTATTTGTAGGAAGAGAAGCCGAGCTGATGCGAACCTATATGGTCATGCAGCAGTCGAAAGCGGACCCCTCCCCCTCCTCCCGAACGAGGTAGCCAATGCCAAGCCAAGAGGAGAATTACCGATCCTAGCCTCAGGATTATCAGGGAGAAGGAAAAAGTGCACTGCGGCTCTCAATCGCCCCGGGGGCTGCAGTTGCGGCAGTTGAGACGCCGCGCGAAACCGGAGAACCTGCTCGTCGAGTCGTTTCATAGGAGACGTAAGCGGACGTC